ATATATATATATATATACACATGTAACAGCATTAGATTTTAGTGATCACAATAATCTAACATATTATTTGCACCAGTAGAGAATTTGAACGTAGAATTTGAACATTTTTTTTCGTTTATTTGTAATTGTCCTAAGATTTTTGTAATAAAAGAGTAATTTATAATAAAAGAGTATTCTCCCTTTAAACGAGATACAATTGATAACATTAGTTTACATGATTTTACAAGAACATATGAAGATGTTTCTGGATAATTTTCGATGCTGAGTCCAAATCTGCCATCGAAATATTTCCATCAAACGCTTTTTGAGACATAAGAAAAGATTTTATTTCCAATATAATGAATTTTTATTGAAATTAAAACTAGTATAATCTCTTGCCAAACTCGGTGCAATATATATAAATTGATCTTTGTATTTTATAAATATTTTATAATTTCTTTCGAGGGACGAACTAAGAAAAATTCGCTAGTCCTTTTTCATAGACCGCATACTTTTTTGTCGCGGTACATTTCTTAAAGACGCACTCGTTTTTGGGAAAACTAAAGTAGGATGTAATGAGCCGAGTATTCTAGCAGCGATAGTCTACATTCCAGAGAACTACTTTCGCCATAAATCCCGAAGTTCTGGATTGGATTCAGTGTCCGGTTGCTGCGAAACACAAGGGCGCACTTTTATCATGAATAATGTATAAATCCTGCGTATATGTGCGCCGGAAACTGAGCGTCTGTATAGAAATAATTAATTCCACACTATATTAATGTAATGCAACGAGGAAAATTCGTGGTTTTATCAAACGGATAACAAGATACGCGGTGTTTGAATCGAAATGTTCGTTTAATTAAACGAAATAATATTCGTAAACTAAATTAAGAGAGTGCTGGGCTCAAGGACTAAGGTATCGATTACGCAGACGGAATAATTACGTTCTAATTTCAGGAAAATTACAGTTATGAATGGTTTAATATCTCGGGATTCTGAATGAAATATAGCGATCAACGATACGATGATGCTACATATGGGCTGGAATTCATGGAATTATGAAGAATCGCGATATGAGAGTCCGTGAAATTTCTCATTTTCGTCGGGATTCGCAGACCGGTGGACGTTACACAGCGACCGGCGCTATGTTATCCGGACGGCAGTATTAATTTTGTCAGATGATCATTAATAATACTCGCTTCGCTGCAGTCGTCGCGAACGCAATGGAGAAACCGAGGACGGAAAAATGATTATAAAAACTAATAATATGCCTAGAAGCGGTCGTATCGTATTTTAACGACTTATGTATAATTAAGCAGATTACTTCTATCCTATTTGAGACATCCGATACAGTCAAGAATTTTAATCGATGATTAGAATTATGTTTAATTGACAATATTTTAATTAATGTACGATATAACAAGAATTCTTTTACATTATTAAATTCATAATATCAAATTAGACCTAATTTCAGTTGTTTAACTAATTTAATTAGGAAAAATGTATAATAAATTTGATTTTTTAATTTATTATTTATCAAGTAAGTAAGCGTTATATGTGAATATAGATGTTGTTTACTTTCAAACTAATCACAGAAATGGATTTTGTAAAATGGATTGGTTTACATGTAAATTAAAAATAACAAAAGTTACAAATAATAAATATTATTCAATTCAAGGAAGTGGATTACCATTATTCCTTTAATATTTATAACAATGTTACGCAATATTTTCTCTTACCCAGATTCTTTTGCGTTTCAGAGAAAAAGAGAGAGAGAGAGAGAGAGAGAGAGAGAGAGAGAGAGAGAGAGAGAGAGAAAGCGAGTGGTGTTATTTTGAAAATATAATATAATATAATAGGAAAAACATTTCTCTTAATAGAAATATTATTTTAATAGAAATAAAATTTTTGTGTATCATGCTAATTTGTAATTTAACGCAACAAGTTTTGGAGTAGGTATTCGTTGATAGGTAAAATATGTAAAATGTTACACAAGATATTAATTTCCCTCGTGTGGATTTCCTTGAAAAGAATGATATATTGATGTTTCATTTTTATCTGAAACACAGTTGATAAATGGGATATCGTTTGTCGGCTGCACGGGAAAAGGTAACACGACTCAAAAATGAATGAATGAAATGAAAAACGAAGCTCGCTCGCAATATATCACTGCCGTCATCGAAATTATTAATCGGCAAAAGTGATTTTCAACAGAAGTATTAAATTAAATAAATGAGATAGATATACATATAGCATATTGCGGATACATATTAATATCCGACACTCTCGTGTCTCTCGGTAATTCTATGTAAATTGATATCGCCCTTTTTCCGGTACATTATCTCTGCTTGCAGCTTTAACCAGCTTCTCACATTCATATTTCTCTTCGACACATTTGATGCGTTGTACATACACTGCATCGCTCGTACATTCATAAACGATTGACGGCACGATGCATCGCGGGTCCGCAATGGCGCCATGCTGTCATCGCGCGAGAACACGCAACAACAAATTATTGCGACCGTCATCCATGGGCACAGGGCGTAACGTAAATCACGCGCGAATTAGTGACGCCGCCAATCCGAAATATCTTTCACGAGATGAACCAGTATCTCGTTTTATGCGACGTCGATGTCGACCATTTCGGCTGTCCATTGTACGTGAGATGTATCACCATTCCCATTCACGGTTTAACTATCGACAGTCGTAATACAGAGTAATGCGTATATAAAATATTGAATTTTTGCGTGAAAGGATAAAAACGAAATTGTAATTATATATTTCATTGGAAATCAATAATGATAGCTTTTCATTCATAATCCAATCACAAAATTATTTACTATTATTAAAATTAAAATAGGATTATATAAATACATCAATTAAGTAGAAGCGGCATTTATATACGATCAAAGTTAGATGTGTTGGAATAATATATTTATGTGTTTTTAAATAAATTTATTTCGGATGTATGACTGCGCGCCGATTACTTTTTAATTTAGGAAGATTATTATTTTAATTTAATTGTGTTATAAGTCCGTAAGTAATGGGTTTGCGGTCATATATCTGAAATGAATTTATTTAAAAATATAGATGTATTATATACAAAATAAAGATATATTATTCCGACATCTAACTTTGATCGTAATTGGCGCTTCTCTTAATTAATGTATTTATTAATGTATAAATACAGAATACAAAAGAAAATACTGAAAATTAAAATACGAGAGAGAGAAAGAGATAGATAAACAGACAAATATCACTATTAATTGAATATTTTAAGATATCTTCCAACGCTAAGATTTTATACATGTAGTTACAACAGAATTACATTTAGAAACAATCAAATAAAATAATAATAGAAGATAATAATAGAAGAATAAAGATACAGAAAAAAAATGAAAGAAAAATAAAGAGAGAAAAAAGAAAGAGATATGAACATTCAGAGAATATTAGACTGCTTAAAAAAAATCTGCTAAAATTCTTCTTTTTAATCAGACTAGTTTAATCAAGAAAAAAGAAAATACCAAATCTCTTCTTCATTTAGTACGCATCATTCGATTGAAATCTATTCTGATTGAAATCCAATCTCCTAACTTTCCGGACTAAATATATTAGGTGTAGTAAAAAGAAATCCATTATTTTTGCATGAAATTGAATGGAAAAATAATGGATTTATTTTTACTACACCTAATATGAGACGTAAAATAGATATTACGTATCATCTTGTCACATAAATCATTGCGAATATAAAAAATTGACAAGTGCATGAATCATGTTTCGCCTACGTCGCGCAACAGAATTCTCGTGTAACGTACACGTTTGTGTACAGAAAATACAGACGAAAGTACAGACGCTTATAGAAAATTTGTAACATCGCATACCAATAGAGACAGAGCGCGGAGCACGTGCAGGAAAGACAGGAGATTTCCCTATCGGGCGTATTTCCATCCAGATATCCACGCTTTCTGTGTGCAGCGCAAGCCGGAAATAAATCTCAGCAAACTGCCGTCTCGTGGTGCGCCACCGCGCACGCCAGCGAGTGCTTTCGCAGACGCTGAAGAAGCAGTTAGATATCGTGGCAAAAGTACGCATATTGAGCTCTTTCTTCGAGGTAGCTTCATTGAATCGAGGACAACGTTTTCCTCGTCGACTACTGCCGAGTCAGCTATTCTATTGTCGCGCGTGTCTAAATAATCTCGAGCACCTGTCGAACGCGACCAAGTGGATAATTCGAGAGCAGCTTGGCTTCAAAAGCAGCGCTCGAGTCTGCATTTTGACTCGATAATGGAAATAAATTAGAATTAATCTAAAAAGCACACATGTCCAAAATCAAGACATAAGACGTTTTAAATACGTCTTAAATGGATTTTCTACAATAAGCCGTCAATAATCACTCGTATCAATCAATATACTAGTGATAAGTCAGAATAGTGTTCTTCATTTAGTGACACAAGTCGATACAGGTATTATTCTTCTTTCTTGACATTCACTGGAATAACAAAGATAGAACGATATCTAATGAGAAGCATCCGTACAAGTCATACAAAGATGTTATGAAATTTACATTTAGAATAATAAATCATATTAGACCGTTACGTCAATATATATCAAAAGAGTGATAGGAGAAACAATGAATTATTGGTAATGTAATCTAAGTTTCAAATCGTAAGAAAATGGAATTTGGCCATCTCCACTGATTATTGATTTATTATGTCACGTTGACTCGCTTATATCTTGCGATATGTCTAAAAGACGTTTTAAAGATGTCTTAAATATGTCTTTTGATTTTGAACATGTCTATGAACATCTACTCTAAATTTCTTGAATTTGTGTCTTCGTCTTTTAATATATATATATATATATATATATAT